GGTGCCTAGCTTGAGTAGTTGGAGCTTAGAGTTCTATATGGTCGGTGAACAGCGGTTCCCAACCATGTCGTCCTCATGCAGTATGAAATGTTTCGTTATTTGAAGCCCCACTCTGGCTTTTGCCGTGGGCCCTAAACATAGCCAGGTCATAAATATGGCCTAACGTCTGAACAAGGTTTCTGGGACCTCTCCACAGGAAATCCTCAATCGCATGGTGGCACATCGTGTCACCAGGTGTTTATTGCTTTGTGTGATGTCCTAGTGGGGTACAACTTACGTACAAAAAGATTAGGCATTACTGAATTTAATTATTACATAGCGAAAGGACAACAAGACTCTTATCTAACTACATGTCTCAAGAATAAAATAATGAATTATATTAGTCAGTGTCAAAAGACTTAAATAAGGTAAAGAATCCTTCTATTTTTTTTTCACTTAACATAGGCTGTCCTTTAGGAGTTGGGAAAAAAAAAAAAAAAGTTCCTATCCAGTGCAGCTTAAACTTGTCAGCACTAAATAATGTCATGTTTATGTAGTGGAAAGTATACACATTGTAATCACCTAAACGAGACGCACCTGTAACAAAGCCATCAGTACACATGAAACGTACTAAGGGGTGCCACTTACTAGGGCATCCTGGAAGACCTTCGGAAAAAAGTATGAGAACTGGCAAATTAATGTCTTTTATCAAATAAGTAGTGAATCTTTGTCTCACAGTCATCGATGCTTTCTGGTTAGATTTCAATTGCAGGGTGTTAAGAAAAAGACAGTTCTCGTGTCTTTCAGGCACAGGTAAGAGAAACACACCATGGCAGAGACTGGGAGGGTCACTGTGAAAGCTTCTATTTAATCATTATGATTCAACAACCACTTGACATCAGATGACATAACACCATATAGTGACAGTAACAACTTGGTAGTTTTATAACTGTGTTTAATTGTAATATAAAATGCCATGCTCCCATTCAACTTGGTACTTGTAGTAAAGTATATATATATTTATTTACACACACACAATCATTTATACAACAAAGACTTGTGTAAGATTACCAAGACATGCAAACACAGTATACAAATGTATGTTTATAAAATTCTATTACTTCCTCTTATGAATTATTTTAATAGGTAAAGATGATCTCATTGTAAATACTATGTTTAGTAAGGTCAGAACTATTACGCTTTCACACCTACTAAGTCATGGTATTATAAAGTGAGGTGATAAACTCACTTCTTTAATAGTTTTTGGCTAATCCCATAGCCATGACACTACCGAGAAAACATGAATACTGTAATATTAGTCACTGAATATGTATGATGTAAGAAACAACTAGAATTATTGTTTACCAGCCTGGTGTGTGTATTCACATACACCCTATGACTTGCTGCCTAAAATTTGTATCTGGAAAGGTTCTTGGAAGCAAAGGCAGACTGTGTATAAAAAATGTGCAAACACCCCCCTCCCCCTTTTTTTTTCGGTGCCTCATTGTACAAGCGCTGTCCCCCCTCCCCACCATGTAAAACATTGTCCAATTTAAAATCAAAAACAAATCTCAGCAGTTCCAATCATAAACAAAACCTTTATCAGCAACCATAACACTGTGCTTCAACACAACTTGTTTATTTTTCCCTAGTTGTGTGAGTTAGTGTTGTTGAGACACTAAATGACACTGCATGTGTGTGTGGTCTGAGACACTGACAGTATGTTAACTTACAATGCAGATAGAGGAATTGCTCATACATTCTTAACTATGGTAGTTATGTACATATGTAATGCCAGGGTTGGAGTAGATCAGAGGTTATGCCATTCAGCTTCATTTGAGAAATCTAGACTTCTGATCCACTATCCAATAATCTTTTTTCACAAAAATCCAGAAAGTCAATATGAAATAACCCAGGTCTGGTTAAAACACTGGTAGTATCTATCTAGTCAATCCCTCTGATTCTTCCAGTCCCAGACATACATTTCTATAACTTATCTTTTCTTAAGCAACTGATAAAGTAAAAGAAGAGATCCCTTTTCTATGCTTTCAGACCATATAGGGCTAGACCTATATTTTATAGACCAACTGGCACTGGGTAGGTGATGTCGTCAGCACCATGTCAGCTGCCTTTACTTCTTAGGACTATACCTGGTACCCACTCAAGGCTGGGCCGACCTGGCAGGCAAGGTCATTTTAAAAGAAATTCTTGCTTCGTCAGGATCTGAACCCACAAGCTTCCAATCTGCAGACGAGCATCTAGGCGTTACACCACTACGGCTTCCTTTAAGCAATTAATGTTGAAAGCAATGTATGTTTTTATGTGAAGGGATCCAAATTATATCATTATGGCAGAAAATGAGCTAAAGTAATGATTGGGAAAGAATGGATAAAAGCTAAAGTAATGATTGGGAAAGAATAGATAAAAGCTGAAGTAATCACTGGAAAAGAATGTATAAAAGCTAAAGTAATGATTGGGAAAAATGGATAAAAGCTAAAGTAAAGACTGGAAAAGATTGGATAAAAGCAAAAGTAATGATTGGGAATGAATGGATAAAACTCAAGTAATGACAGGGAAAGAATAGATCAAAGCTGAAGTAATGACTGGGAAAGAATGTATAAAAGCTAATGTAATGATTGGGAAAGATTGGATAAAAGCTAAAGTTTCATCAGATACAAGGACCTCATAAAAACCAGCATGCTAGACTACTAACAAATGCACAGTGAGTAGCCTGGTACTCAAAGAGTTCAGATACAGTAGTTACAACATAAAATTGCAATATTTAACAAGCCTATTGTAGGTAACAATATATTTATATATAAACTCAGCTATGCTATTATGTTATGGCAATAGCAATATAGCAAGAAACATCTTTCATGTACTGTAGGTAGGAACTTGTTCAATAACTGAGCTGTGAACATGTACTAGTAACCTCCTTGTTGAAGTGATTTAGCTGCAAGGTTTTGCACAATGTTTTATCAAGTGACCAGCCATGCTACAGCGAGAGACTATCCCATATGTATTTTAACGTGGAACAACGAAGTTGATTCTCTTGATTTTTAATACTAAAACTATAATTGTCTAAAAGATTACACATAAAAGCATTTATCACATAGCCTGAACTATACAATGAATGAATGATTGAATGAATGACTCGAGACTACATCACTGCACTTGTGTCATATTCACACATGCTCCGTCTCATTCTTCACTGGTGAAAGAAGAGTTCTCATTCTGATGGCACTAGTGGCAATTCCATTTTTCTTCTTCTTCTTAGCATTTGATGGCTGTTAACTCTGGCGGTAAGATTCATCCACTTCTGGTGTTGAGTTTTATTTTATCACTGAATTTGGCACATCCGTTTTACAGATCTGGCTTAATTGTATGCAGACTGTTAGTTCCTCATCTGTGTCAGATGCACTCTGACCTCAAAGGAAACACCCCTAATCTGTACGAATAACAGCTAGAAAGGTGATGTGATCAGTATTATGTCAGTCGCCTTTACATCCAGAATACTTTCTGTTTTATTGTAGGCAGAATCCACATTGAAACCCAAGTCAACTTTAAATAAAAATATATTTCCTTGGGGATTCAAACACCTGAGCATGGTGGGCAGGCAAAAGTGCTGGTCACTGCACCCCCCTGGATACCACTGAACCCCCCCCCCCCCTGGATTCCACTGAACCCCCCTGGATACCACTGCACCCCCCGGATACCACTGCACCCCCCGGATACCACTGCACCCCCCTGGATACCACTGAGTACCATCCAAACCCTCTGCTCACTTCCTACTGACTCAGTCCCACCAGCTTTAGGAAAGCTGTTATCCATGTGTGGGTTCAGGGGTCCCATTGTGGGGGAAAACAAGAACAGAACCACTGCCTTCCTAACAAGACTGTCATAGAAGCCAACTAATTGGGGACATCCTTCAAAGTTGGAAATATCTGCCTGATAGGCAAGGAACCAAGAGTCTGCATACAAATCAGCAAGACCTGTGAAACAGATGTGCATGCAATTCTCAGGTTCTGGAACAAGACTAAAGTCTGGAGGATGATGAACACCTAGAACTTTCTGTCAGAGTTTACATCCGGTGAACACGAAGCAGAAGAAGACAATATGCTGTTAGAGACCAGTAGTTTTAAATGATGAATTAAGAATCCACATCATAGCACTCAGGACACCCCTATAAGCGCTCCGTCCCCATCTTCAGTAGCAAACAAAAAGTTCCAACTCTGATGGCACCAGGAACTGTATGATTAAATATCCATCTCGCCCTTCCCTTGAACGTTGAGCGTCTGCCAGATCCCCTGGTAACTCCTCGCAGCGCCATACTCCTTAAACCATAATGATCTATTTGCACTTCCACACTGTTCACTCACTCCCAGAGGGCACTCAGAACGTCTAGCTTATCATACAATCAATTCACCACCAAGTGGTTCAGAACCGGCCAGTCTATCAGTAGTTTTAAAAGCCAATCGGCACTTGACGGGTGATCTCATCTGATTTGTGAGAAACATTATGTAGAATACAACATTTAAAAAATATGCATTAGAAATGAGCAAGTGCTACCTGGAATGTACAACAAAAATGACTCATGGTGACCTAGTTCAGTCAAGGTCAAAGGTGCTTTTTATGTCATTGGCAAACCAGGTATATGGTGTAGGCCCAAAGTCTTTTAGACCACTCAAGAATTAATGGGAGATATGGTGAACCTCCTGCTGAGCAGCATTCTCTTCCAGGGAACATTTGTTGCCACCATTATGATGGGTCAACCGAGCACTTAGCCAGTTACAAAAATGTTCTTCGATACTGATTCAAACCCAGTATCTGTGAGCCGGTAGACATGCATCTAGCCACTGTGTTAACCTGGCTGCTATGGTTATCTACACAATCACATCCGAGAAGGTTTCCTGAATGTATTGGCCAGGTCCATATTCTGCTATATTTATGTAAACAAACAATCATTGAGCTTTTGTAAATAGGAATCATTACTTGTAATAAACAACAATTCTCCCATATCATTATGAATAATATGACTGTTTGGCAGGTACACTGACAAAGTGTCTCTCTCCTGTGGAGGTGATTAAGATTCCTGTCAGGTTCAAACCGTAGACACATCCGGTGTCCAGACCTGTAGCATGTGGCAGATCCTGCAGACCTCTTCGGGCATCATGACCATAGTAAACATGCTGAGGCCCCTTCCACATAGAGGCCCAGGCCACACCCTCATCCACCTTACTGTTTCCTGTCAGAACCGGGTCCCAAAAGTGAACATCGTACACCACATTTCTCATGTGGCACAAATCAATAAGACACTGGCGACTCAAGGGAACTCCAGGAACGAGACCTGCGTGAACAACTATAGAATTTATCTTAGGAATAGACAATGAGTATGGTAAATTGTGAAGAAAGTTAAAATCATCTGTTGAGAATTCTTTCAAATACTGATATTTCGATGAAAGCTTGTAGTCTTTATCTTGACACATGCTGCGATACTCTCTAAGCAATGATTCTTCGTGGTTACCTTTTACAGCAGCAGCTATTCCTTTCTTAGCGAGACTCCGGACTAAAGTTAAAACTTCTAAATTTTTAGGGCCTTTATTTACCATGTCCCCAACAAATATGAAATAGATATCGGAGGTGTTGACGATGTTTTGAGCTTTGCTGATCAAGTTTTCAAGTTCATCATAACATCCGTGTACATCTCCGATAATCATGATTGGACGGTTTCCAATGTCCTCATCTGAGAGGACAATGTGGCATTCTGGAGGCAGTGGAAGTCCATATTTGTTCTTTGCTGGGTATGGTTTCAGAAAACCGAGTAAACCACGTAACAGGGACAAGGAGTTGAACACTACAGCCGCCATCTGTCCCCTGTTGACAACACACAATCAATATAAAGCAAAACAAAGTTTTTCCTGAAGTGGATTTAAAAAATGAAGACATTTAAATTTAAACACTGATGATATCTATTCTTCTAATTAAGGCTGTATTAAACTGTTGGAATCAGGTTGGATATTTAAACCTAGATTATTGTACTTATTCTGGTCTGAACTTCAAATAACAGCAGATTTTGGAACTAACTGTGGTCTAAACTCTCCTTTTTCTTTGTTCACTGGCTGTAAGCTCCGGTGGAAAGTCCTGGTTGTTTGTCCATTTGGACTCTAGCTTTGTGCCAGAGTTTTGAGTGTACATCAATTTTACTGGCTAATTTGTGTGCAGTTGGTTGTTCCTTGCCACTCAGGAAGATGCATTTCAACTTCAAAGGAAGCTCCCAATTAGTTTACTCCTATGATAAACATTAGGGAGGGAGTGGGTCTATTCTTGTTTTCCCCACAGTGGGAGATCTGAACTCAAAACCACAGGACAGAATTAACTCAAGTCTGCATTTATAAAGCTGTGACATGGGAAATATAAAGACCTAATGGTATACACACTCCCCACCAGTGTCTACAATAGAATTCCCCTGTTACAATGGGCAAAGTAGCTGAGATTTTTAAAACAGTATTAAAGAATATTTCGTAGTCATATAGGGAATGGTCAATAAATAATAAGGCTCTCCTTCAAATAACAGTCGCTAGCTGGAAAGCCGATGGTCGCTTTAGTCGGAGTGCGCTCCCTTGGCTGCATTGCAAATACGGAGTGGAAAAGTCACGAATCAAAAACAAGGTCAACATGGCAGTTAAGACATCGAGCTCCGACTCACATTAGCAACCACGTTTTTGCGACGCACGACTTAGTTGCCACGGATTTGACTCCTGCAGATCTGTATGCCTTAATGACTGATAAGTTTGCGTGGTTAGGGTTAGGGTTAGATGTGAAGATTTTGACGCAGGAGTTCCAAATAATCGCGCACAGTGACATACACACCTAAACAATTGAAGGACTGTGGATGCTACTCAAACGGACAATTCACCATGAATTGGGCACCAGCCGCGCGCTATTGCTGTCATATTTAGGAGAATTCCAGTGGCGCCACTCCCACAAGCATCAGATTGTCGGCCATTATTTGGAACTCCTGCGTCAAAATTTTCACATCTAACCCTAACCCTTCGCAACCATATGATGACAGGTAAGTATGTCATTTGTTTCGTTTCCTCTTTATGCTCCGTATTTGCAATGCAGCCAAGGGAGCGCACTCCGACTAAGCGACCATCGGCTTTCCAGCTAGCAACCGTTATTTAAAGGAAAGACAGGTTGCCACATAATTTTCCATACATTGGTTGCCAAATTAAACAGGTTAAAAAAAAACTTTTTTTGTTTATATAATGTCCTCTACTGTTTTGAAAACATGTTTCGATCCACGTGCTCCATTGCTTAAAACATAAATAAGCAAAGTCTGCAAAGCTGGAATTTTGCTGCTTGTAATGGCGTTGGTGATGTTTATTCCCCACGTACAGAACCTTATGGGACACTATGTATGTATTGATACTATTATATTATCAAAGTAGTATCAACAGCACACGTTAAGTAGTAAATAATAGTATTATACTACTACTAGACTAGTGAAATGTATTTTATATTCAGCAAACAAATCACCTTCGAAGTTTAAATGTATAATTAATTACCCAACCGACGTAGATTAAATCAACTTCTGGATTCTTGATGAGTTGAGGAAGTTGGAGATTTAATATATCGGGATCCCGTTGTGCGACACGCAAATCACTGCCGTCTAAAATTTAAAAAGTTAGAATGGCGTTATCATGGCTACATAATCATTCTAACACCACATATATGTCT